ACATTCCTCTTTCTTACCCTTTACAATGATCCCTCTTAAGCTCTTTTGAGCTAGGTCCCCACTCACAAAAGCATAAAGATATAAACAGAGGGAAGACTTCAATCAACCCACCTCTATTCTTTGGATTAACTTCTCAAGATGCCCAGGGCTAAAGCAAATTATTTACTTTTATGTCATTCCACCTGTCCCACAGATCAAGTCTGACTGGCCTTCTGGCAGAAAAGGCTTCAGAAGCACAGACATCTTCATGACTATTCTGAAGTCCCATTCTATCTTTGTATTCTCTTCATAGCTATTATCACCACCTGACATTCATATTGACATACTGGTTGCAGTCTGTCTCCAGAACAGACACACCTCTCTCTCTCTCTCTCTCTCTCTCTCAAATATATTTTATTAATTTTTTACAGAGCGGAAGGGAGAGTGACAGAGAGCTAGAAACGTCGATGAGAGAGAAACATCGACTAGCTGCCTCCTGCACACCCCCTACCAGGGATGTGCCAGCAACCAAGGAACATGCCCTTGACCAGAATTGAACCCGAGACCTTCCAGTCCACAGGCCGACACTCTATCCACTGAGCCACACCGGTTTCAGCAGCAGACACCTCTTGCCCTCCACTGCGTCTCCCATGCTTAGAACAGCACCTACAAATACCTACAAATGAAAATTAGAACACAACACACACAGAACCTTAATCCATGTTCAAGGATGTCATGTTTAAACATGAAACCATCTTCCCATCAGGCTGACAGTCAAGTATTCCAAGGAACTTGCACCTTTTCCTACAGCACAGCTTACAGGCACACACTGCAACACAGATATTTTCCTGTAGCTAACCTTTTCCCCGTTAACTTTCCCACAACAAAGCATCAGACATACAATAAGTCACCTCACAGTTCATCTTCCCGCTGGGCCATGTGCATTACTTACAAAGCAAACAGCGCTAATGCAGAAAGTCCTGACTGTGTTTGTGGCCATGACCACCTTTTCACCTACACTGCACATACACAAGTATTCAAGGGACAACAGCCTAACTAATAAAAAAATTATCTAGTCTAAATGCAATGTGCCCAAATCATGCACTATGAAAAACCTTATTTTCATTATAGAGTTGACCCTTAAAACAATATGAATTTGAACTACGCAGGTCCACTTATATGCAAGTTTTTTTAAAAAAATAAATGCTATAAATGTATTATCCTTATGGTTTTCTTAATAACACTCTTTCCTCTAGCTTACTTTATTGTAAGAATACAGTCTAATACATATAACATACAAAATGTGTGTTTATCAACTGTTTATGTTATTGGTAAAGCTTCTGGCCAAGAGTAGGCTATCGGTAAAGTTTTGGAGGAGTCAAAGTTACACATCAGAGGTGGGGGAATCAGTGCCCAACCCCTGTGTTAAAGTCAACTGTATTTAAAAAAAAAAAAAAAGTCAACTGTATTATATTTCAAATGTGTAACTTTGATGTATAGTTTTGCTCCAATATAAATAGGGTTTTATTGGTTTGCTTTATTTTGTTACCTTTACTTCCAGAAAAAGAAAATGAAGGCGACAGAGTTAGAAGGCTCAGGGAGATCTAGTGAGCACTCGGGTGCCTTGAACGCAAGCCCCAGTAGGAAGAATACCAAAGGCAAACTGGGAAAAGGACTGTCTGTTGTAACTGCATCGTTTGAGTCCCATCTGGTCAAACTGAGAGCAATCACTAGATAACATGATTCCTGTGCATTATAAACCAGTAACAGACAAGAGATCTCTCTTTAAGCTGGTAACAGAATCCAGCTCAGGACAGAGCTGCAGAAATGGGTATGAAAGAGAAACTTTTTTAGATTAAATCTCAGGTGCACTGCAAAACTGGCCCGGAATGGGGAAAGTGAAAGTTAAGAAAACTCCAAGGGGCCACTAAACCACTTGGCACAGTCACAAAAATCATGCTTTCCAGTATTTTGTCCAAGTCCAGATTTCAAGAACAACCTACCACTATCTGATTTTGCCTTAAGCAGGCACTGCAGTATACTGGATCAAGTAAAGGCTCTGGAGCCATGCAGAGGATGGTCACACCCAAACCCTGACCACTCACTAGCTCTATGACCTCTCAAAAAAAGGAGAAAGGATCGACTTCTCAGGTCTGCTGGGTGGATTTTTTAAGACGACTTACAATACCTTGAACACAACGTAGCATATTGAATCTTTACAAAAACAACACCAACATACACAAATGCTAGCATCCTTTCCCACCTGAAGAGAAGGCGGAACCCACCAGAAGTAGTCCAACTCTAACTTCTAGGTCTAAACAGATGAGATTTCAACTGAATTCCATTCCATACCACTAAAAAGTTATAAAACATAAAACATGTCTCCTGACATCTTAGTATTTTGGCAACCTTCTCTTACATGTATAAACACACAAATTACCTTTGTAGAAACAAGTTTTATAACTTTTCCTTGTAACAAAATGTAAATATACATTTGATAACTGCTTACAATGCAAGGAACCAAGGTTTTTAAAATTCCATACCAAACAAGGTCATTACTCAGACATCACTGTAAATAAATTGCTTATGTGGGAAACTCCAAGTGACAGATAGCTACAGAGCTGGATAAGTGTTTACCTATGTGATAGGCCTGATGCTAACATACAAGAAAACGTGTACCTCAAAGGCAGCAGTACGAGCAAACTTCCCAATGCTGACTTCTGTTTGAAACTGTTTGTACAGACTGAATAAAAGAGTGATCTTAGAGAGACTATTACACCTTAGGCACATGTCCTTCAAGCATCATAGTAGTAGTAACTTAAAGACGACAAGACCAACTTCTGAGGCTGATCTACAAGGACTAACCAGTCAGCAGCATGGCCTAAGGCCCTCACACATCATAAAAATCAGTGAAACTAATTGGGGTTCTTCAACATCTGAGAGGAAGCATACAGCTACCATTAAGGAATAAATTGGGGATGCAAATAATTAGTGCACCCTGAGGTGATAGTTAATTCCACTAGCATGCCATTTCACAGGACATATTTACTAGGGAATTCCACTTCAGTCCTACTCTGAAAACACTGAAGCTAGAAATTGGAAAGATCTTTCAATAACTCCCTCCCCAGTCCATTGCATAGAAAGATCTTGGAAATCCTTGGAGCCAACAACACGCAGACCCAAACACACTTGTTACCAAATATACTTGTGCTATATCCACAGCTCCAAGTAGTCAAATGTTCCCTAAAATATTTTTCCTACTAACTTCTTGCTCAAAGACCAAAAAAAAGCAAAACACACACACACACACACACACACACAAACACCACACACACAAACAAGGCACATTCAGCATAGCTAGAATATAATATACTTTCTGAGCAGCACAGAACAGCTTCTGGGATTTGAGGGAAAACTGTCCTCTGACTTAGTGTTATGCTAAGTTATGTGTTATGCTCTGGAGAAGTGGCTGGAAGCTAAAAAGCCAGGTAAGGCACGGCCTGCATTTCTGCAGCCAGGAAGCTTCTGGCTAAAACAAAAGCACAGACAGGAGAGACCAAAAACAAACAAACAAAAACCACACCTGCCCCAAACCCCAGTAACGTCTGCCCTGGAAGGGAGTCCTCTAACAGGAGGAAACTGGGAGCCTGGAGAGGGCAGGGAGCGCGGCCAAGGCGACGGTTTACTGGAGGCAAAGCTGGCAGTAGAGTCCTGGTCTCCCAGGTCCAGGCGTCAATGCAGTTTCCCACTCCACCTCGCTGCCTGCCACCCCAGGCAAGATGTTTCCTAAAACTCTTCACTGAAGCCGTTCACATAAGGGTCCAATTATCATCCAAAGATCTCCCTGTTAGATAATAGCTCGAGAATTCCATCCATTTTACAGCAGTTACCGGAGTCATCTAATCTTTGGAAGGAAAAAGGGAAAGGAAAAAAAAAAAAAAAAAGGCAGAGGGAAAGGGGGAGGACCCTAATTTTGAGCTGTCCCCTAAGGGCAAACTAAAGGTTTCCCACAGGCAGACAGCGCTGGTACCCACAGCCACAAAAACGGACAATCATCCCCACCCACAGGCCCGGGAGAGAGGCTGGGCTTCGGCACCGCCCCCCACCCAACTCGGTCACCCCTCCTCTCCCACCGGGGGCCCGGGGGACGGCCCCCTCCCGCCGCCGCCACAGGGCAGGGCCAGGCCAGCCACCCCCTCCAACACCGCTTTCCCCTCCGAGAGGGAACAGCGGCCCAGCGCCCGCTCGCCCGCGGGGACCACCGGACCCCACACCCCGCCCTGCCCCCGGCGAGGGAGCGGAGAAAAGCCCCGCAGGAAGTGCGCCCCGCGCCGCGCTCCCGCCCCGCCAGCCGCTACCTGCCCTCCGCCCCCCGCAGGCGAGCGGCAGCGCGTCCACATGGCCCCAGGTGTTCACATGGCCGTCAGGGTCCGTCCCCGCGGCCCGGCGCTCCGACTCCCGGGAGCCCAGCGCCGCTCCCCGGCCCCTCCCAGCCCAAGCCCGGCCCCCGCCCCCGCCCCCGCCCGCCGGCCTCGCCCCCAGCCCGCAGCGGAGCGGAGCGCAGCCTGGTCCCCGGGGCGGCCAGGGGCCCCAGGCCGGCGGCGCGGACCCCGCCGCCCCCGGGACACCGCCCGCCGGCAGCCTCCTCCTGGGCACCCGAGACCGCGGCCAGCAGGTACCCCACCCCGCCCCGCGGCACCTTCGGGCCGGACGGGGTCCAAACCCTGAGGGACTCCCAGGCCGGACCGAGCCCCTCACGCCCGGGCGCCAGGCCGGGCTCGTCCCCTCAGCAACCCTCGAGGCCAGGCCCCTCCTCTCCGCACCCCGGGTCGGGCCGGGCCACGGCCCCCGGCACCGAGCCCGGGCCTCAGAGTCCGGGGGTCTCAGCACTCCCGGTTCGGGCCGGGCAAGTACCTCTGCCCCCAGCCCTCGAGGCCGGACATCCCGGCCCGGCCCCAGCGCCTCAGCCCTCGCCTCGGCTCCTCAGCCCGGGCCCTTTCCCCACCCCGGGCGGCGGTTACCTGCGGGAGACCCCCGCCCGGTCCCTCGGCCTCGGCCGGGGGCGGGAGGGGAGGGAGCGGCGGCAGGCGGCGCTGCGCGGGGTGGGGGTGGGGGAGCCTCCGCCGCCTCCAGCTCGGGCGCCCGGGCCGGCGGCGGGGCGGGCCGGGGCCGCGGCCGCGGCCTCTGGAGGCTCGCTCCGGCCCGCGCGCTCGCTCCCCGGTCGGGCGCGCCTCAGGGCGGGCTCCCCAGGCGGAGGCCGCGGCCGCCTCGCTGGGGCGGAAAGCCGCTCGATTCGGGATTTTTTCTCTCCATTCTCCCAACACACAGGAAATAACAGAGCGTCAGGTGACGGCGCGCGACCAATGGGGAGGCGCGAGGCCGCGGCGCGCGGGCGGGCGGGAGGGCGCGCGGCGGGGGCGGGGCGGCGGGGGGCGGGGCCGGCGCGCACGCGCGTGCCCACCCGCGTGCGGCGGCGCCGAGGCCTGTGCGCGCCGGGTCAGCCCCAGCCCGGCGGCGGGGGTCGCGCGGGGGCCGAGGCGCGGGGTCCCTCTCGGCCGCCGCGGGGCGCAGCGCGAACGTGTTGCCGCGTGCTCCGTGCCATCTTGGCCCACAGCTTCCCTCCGTCCGTCCGCCTGGGAGTGGTGGCGAGCCAACTTTGTGGGGAGTTAGTGGCCTGGAATCTCTGGAGCCCTTGGGGCCTCCAACCGCAGCGTCCCACCTCGGGCGGCCGAGGAGCGTGGAACCAGGGCCAGGCCTCCTCCTGGTAACCTGGTCAGTAGGGCTGGGCACGGCGGTGCCTCTGGCCTCCAGTTGCTCTCAGGACCCGGCAGACCCGGTTCTCTGGCCGCCTCCACCTCGTGGCCCCAAGTGTCCTTGGATGAATGACTTGGGCCCTCAGTTCCCTTCGCTTCCATTAAACGAGGGGCGGGGAGGCCCACCGGCTTCACATGAAAAACACAGGCTCACCAAATGCCAGTTGCCTTTGCCTGCGGCGGCATTAAGACCTGCAATGCCTGGTTGGCTGGATCCAGAGTCCAGTATTAATTTGGAGATAAGGTGGACGATTGGTGGTGCCAAGGCCTCAGGCTGTTCCCAGACTTCCTTTGCAAACCTCATGTGTGTTTTACGGAGCAAAGGAATGGCTCGACTTTTGAAAAGGAAATCTCCGTTGCAGAACCACCCCTGAACCGTCTGTGCTGTGTGACACATTGCTATCAGAAGTTAGGCCGGCGAGATGATGTATTTGGAGGGATTGCGATCCTGTCTGTGACTCACCTGGATACCCGGCCGGGGTCTCTCCCCACTCTGGGCCTCAGTTTCCCACCTGGGCACAGATGTTCTTAACATTGGCCAAAATTGCTGATTGTAGATGTTAAGAGTAGTTCCTTTTCTGAAGCAACCCAACTCGAAAGGAAACTGGAGTTGGAAAAAGTGCTCTGCCACAGCAGGTGAAGGCTGATGGGAACCAGGTGTGACCTGGGGCCCAGATTCAGGTGCATTTGAGGTACACAGCTCCCCAGGGCCTGGCCTACCCTTTCACCTCTAACCCCACCTAGCCAGACACATTAACACTTTGCCTGGCGGCAGGCCACCCAGGGAGGGGCCTGTTGTGGGATCCCAGGCAGGGCCTGAGTTGGTTCTAGCACCTCAGGAGGCTGTGAGTGGAGAAGGCAGTGATTTCTCTTGGCGTTTGTCCAGCCTCACAAAGTGGGGGCCAGTTCCAATGTGGGTCAAGGCTCTGCTCGAAGGCGGTTCCCAGCACCTCCTGCATGCCAGGCGGGGGGTGCAGGCTCGTCCGGGGCAGAGCTGAACAGGCTGTGGGCCCTCCCTTCGGCGGTTCCCATTGTTCTGTGAGTTTCATTTTCAAATTCTTTGGCACCAAGATTTAAAAAAAAAAAAAAAAAAAAAAGACCAGTGCTGGCTTCTGCTTGGATCAGAGCCGCCGAGGGAAAGGTTGGGGGCTCTTCAGCACAGACCCATGTTGTCTGGACAAACGGAAGGATGCAGGGGAGCGCTGTGAGCCCTGAGTGCTGGGGGCACCCTCACTTTGTGAGAACTCAGGAAGCAGAGGGCAGCCCTCTTCCTTGTCTCCTGCCCGTCACTCCTCCCTCCTCTCTCCTCTTCCTCGGCTCACTCGGGTTTCAGACTGGGGGGCTGGACCATGACACGCATGGTGACCAAGGACAAGAATGCAGACAGATAACTGGAGTCCAGCTCTCGTTTGCTCCCGCCTCCTGTCCTGGGACTGACGCCATAGCCGCTCCCACTCCCTGGGAGCCCGCTGCAGCGCTGCCCAGCTGCCCTCCACCTGCAGGCTTCCCAGGCCTAGGGCCAGGCCGGCCCCGGCTCCCTCAGCAGTGTGGTCTGTCACTCTTCCCTTTGGGTGCCGTTTGGAAACAGAACACGTTGTGGGTGCTGTGGCCAACACACAGATGTGAGGTACCTTTGGGCTGTGTGGCCTGAGACAATGCATTTCACCTCTGAACCTTGGTTTCCTCAGCCACAAAGTGGAGATAATATCACCTCCCTCCTAACATGCATGTTAGGAGGATCTAGAGACCTGCATAAAGAATTCAGTACATACCAGGCACATGTTCACAGCTACAGTTCTATGCTGTGGACACAATATGACACGTGAGTAGATGGGGCTCAGCGAAGCTAAATCATTGCCCCAGATCCCACAGCGGCCAGAGCTCAGCAGCTGGGAGCCCCCTTCTCTGTGACCACGCTAGCATCTACTGTTGTTCTCTCACTCTCTCATCTTCAAGAATCCTGTCTCTCCTTCCACACTTTCAGAAAAAGACAACAGCTTCATGAGATTCATTGTGACCCTCCCCTCTGGCCCACCCCAGTCCGCTTGAAAAACACTTATTGAACTGAATCAGTGGTTTCGATTCCAGAAGCTAAAGGCATCCTTTCCCTCCTCCTCTGGCTCTGGGATGGCGTTTGGAAACCGTGTCACTCTCTCCCTTTATTACAAACTCCTCTGCCCTCCCCCAGGCCTGGCCACTCCGGGATTACAAATGGAGCCTCCGCCTCCAGGGCACTGCCTCCGCCAGCTCCCGGGTGTCAGGCGAATTGATGGAGGAGACTGGGCCTGCCCGCCCCATCAGTGACTTGTGCAGAGTGAGCCGCGTGTCCTGCCTTCAGCAGCAGGCGGATGTCCTTCCTCTCGCTCTCTCGCAGGCTCTTGAGCACACGTGCAGCCTTCACCTTCCTCCCTCTGCGGCCCCCCCTCCTTTCTCTCGGAGGGCCTCCTGCTGACTGGAGCACACCGAGAGGCTGGCCGGAAGCTGGCTCCTAGTTCTCGAGAGACACCTGATAGAGCCTCAGGTTCACAGAGTGGGGAACCCCCACCGCATCCTGCAGAGCCTGTGCCGGGCCAGGCACTTCCCCCATGCAAACCAGATGGAGCAGCGGGTACACAAACAGCAGGGTGGCCAGATCCGCGGTGGCACGCCTTCTTTCCACACTTGGAGCCCCGCTGGGGAGGGCAGAGGGGCTGAGAGTAGGTCTTTCTGGGGCAAGGACAGGGCCAGGGGGTACCAAGCCTTAGCAGGGTGGGCAGCCACCTGTTCTCCCGGGAGGGTGAGGGGCAGGGGAGAGGCGGCTTCGGAGGAAGGCCAGGGTGTGGGCCTGCAGGGCCGGGTTCTGTGACCAGCTTGGGATGAGTTTGTATCACAGGGTCTCAGGGACCTCTGCTCAGGAGGTGTGGATGGAAGTCGTGGCTCCCTCTTTAGCTCCCACGGGTCACACGGGGCTGTTTATGTGACTGTCAGTCTCTCCCGGGAGTATGAGCATTTGTGGGCACACACCTCTGCCTTGTTGGTGTCTCCAGCATCCTATGCAGGATGTGGCTTCCTGTGAATGGGCACTGTGTTTGCAACAACCTGGTGAGGTTGGTAGCTATCAACCCCACTTGGCAGCTGAGGCCACTGAAGCACAGTTTGAGTAACTTGTCCTGGGCACACAGCGTGGAAGGGTCCCTGGGGCGAGGTGGGTGGGGTTTTTGATCCTAGAGGCTGCGCTCCTGACCACAAGCTCCCCAGCGCTTGGCAAATAGTGGAAGATGGACGGACGCACAGCTGGTGGGTCCCACGTCTGCAGGCAGACAGGGAGAGGGACCTGAGAGACAGCAGGGTGGGCACCAGCCTCTCCCCACAGTAACGTGTGAAAGCCTGGAGGCTGGGCAGGCTGCCTGGGAGACCACGGCCTCCCCAGCTAGTGGCCTCGCTGTGCCCCACGGCATCCATCTTCCCACAGGTGAGTGGAGAGAGAACATGGAGGAGACACAGCTGAGCGGCTGGAGGCCCCTGAGCCTGGCTCCGCGCGGAGCAGCCCTCAGCCCATGCGGAACTCCTGCCCCTGGTGGCACAACCCTCCCTGGGCGGCGTGTGCGGGCCCAGCACAGGCCCCTGGGGGGGGGGGGGCAGGCTGTCTCACACCCAGGACACCCTGGCCTTGTCCTTCAGCAGATGCTCTGAGTCTGAACTCCCGCATCTGGAAGTTGGAGTGGGAGGAGGGGCTGAGGGATCTCCTGCCTCCAGGGAGTCGGTGTCTTACCTTCACTCCTCCCAACAGCCTTAGGAAGCGGAACTTAGCCTCTGGCCCCAGAGCCCCCGCCGAGCACCACAAGGAGCGAAAGTGAAAATGAAGAGTTAAAGTGAAAATAAAATCATCTAACCATCACAACGGCAAAGGCATGTCCTCAGCACTTGACCTGCATGAACGCACTTAATCCTCACCGCAGCCCTTGGAGGTGCATACTGGCATGAGGGCGTCCTGCAGATGGGGAAACTGAGGCCCGGAGCCGCTGGGAAGGGGCAGAGTTCAATGTGAAGCCGGGGGGCTGGGCGGCAGGCTCCAGCTTCGCTTTATCACCAGCTAACAACAGGGAGGGTCCTTTCCTTTGGGATTATTTCTGCTTGAAAGCGCAAGACTTTTAGCCCCATCTCCGCGGGGCTTGGCGGGAAGACAGGGCCCCATGCTGAGGCATGCTGGGAAAAGACTTTGTTCCATCCTGTTTTGTTGACACGCTCTTCATTTTAAGCCCGAAACCCAAGCTTCCTGCGAAGAATTCAAACCAGGGAGGGGAGCGCAGCCCTGATACAGCCGCCACTCCCTCTGCGCGGGGCTGCCCGCGTGTCCTCGCCCCCAGCTCTCACGGAGCCCGAGCAGCTCCCACTTCACAGTGAAGCACCCGAAGCCCCGAGCTGCTGACAAGATGCCCAGAGGCACACAGGTACTAAGGGCTTGGTCTGGGACCTGTGGCCGGGTCCTTCTTGCGAATCCTGGCTCTTCTGACCACATCCGGGGCACAGAGCAGGGCCTTG